AACGCTTAACGATTAGCGATTACGCTTAACGCTTAATGATTAGTGATTACACTTAACGATTAACGATTAGCAATTACGCTTAGCACTAAGTAAACTACACTTAGCTGCAATGATTAGCGATTAGCTCTAAAGATATAAAAAGAATATAAATTTTCCCAAGTTAACATTAGACCTGCACTATCCATCTCTTAGACCTAGACTCCCCTCTTTCCTAAATTCTTTCTTGTAATATTATAGAATTCTTTAGAAATAAGAATCTAAGGATAGCCTATCTTATTCTCTTTAATAAAACCATATATTTTATCTATAAACTATTGTCTGCCTGAACTGCTACAGACAGAAAGGTATAGTTTCTACTGTAGTTGTAGTAAAAATTATACTTATCTGTTGGATACCGATATAAACCTGTGAAGAATCCCTGTAGCCATGTCATTGTTATAGTACTACTGTTAAGAAGGATACGTATCACTTCACCAACGCTTATTTCGTAGATATAACATTTCACTGACAAAAATTTATCAACAATTATTTCACCAACAAGTATATTTTACCAACAAGTTCATTTTACTGACAGTTTATTTCACCAAAGCTCATTTCAAATACAAGCTTTTTTTTATAAATCCCACCAACTTTAACTCTAATTCTAACTGATCTTAATGATATTACCAGAATTATTATATTGGTGAAATGAGCTTCGGTGAAATAAACTATCGGTAAATGAACTTGTCGGTGAAATATACTTGTCGGTGAAATAATTGTTGTTGAATAGTTGTCAGTGAAATGTTATTTTTACGAAAGGAGTGTTGGTGAAGTGAGCTAAACCAGTTAAGAAGGCCACGGTACTGTAACAGAATAATGATATTACTACAGAGGCTTTTTGTTTTACAAACAATAATTCTATTATTATAAAAGACTGTTTTAATATAAATAAAATCTTGGTTCCAAATCTTTTAAATTTTTCTAAAACTATTAGTATCAATTTATAGTATGCAATATAAAAAAACTTAAATATGGTGAAATCTGGGAACTTTGCTTGACAGGCTACTCAACTTTCTATTAAACAAAATAATTATTTTGAAATGATAATATAATAGAGATAGCATGCAGTTTGGATTTTTCAGAACATGTGATATAGATCATTATATATTACATAATTGTTATATACAGATCATGATTATGTTATATATAGATATATACTATATGACTTAGTATAAAATTGAGACATTTCTTTTATTGCTCTATTTGGATCAAAATATATATACATATATATTACAGTATAAATTTTTTTAAAGATAATTAGATAATTTCATATCAAGTTTCAGATTTTACTAAAATCTATTTACAAGTATATACTAATTAATAATATAGTATTTAGCTAAAGTTAATAAAAAGCAAATTTGAATGTGAATACTTATAAAAAGCTTATTTATATATATACAAACAAATTATATAAAATATTTAATGTAGTATATAAGATAAGTATTGCAATGATCTTTCTAATTATTAGCTTAGTTTTATTTTATTTTTTGTAAAAATAAATATAACACTAGAGGATATTGATATCTACCCCCCAATTTTATTATAAAAAATAGTTTTTTGCTAAAATTTAGGGTTAGAGTGCAGTTTAATGCCAAAATAGGAGTTAAATATAATAGTGTAATGTAATGTGATTAGACTCTTAGTTAACAAGTCACACTACTTGACTAGGTGTTCAAGTAGTTAAGAAATGTATTTGTATAATATTATAATGGAAAATAACTTTTAAACAAAATAAAATATTGTCAACTTATTGCCAATGCGATTTCAAATAAAAAAGGTTATAACCAACAGACTTTATACTAAAGATAGATTTTTATTAACTCAAAAGATGCTTAAAAGAATAACACAGATAAAACAATATTATAACTCAAGAAAAATACAATAATTTCAAGAAAAATATCACAAATATAACAGAAAAATACAAAGAGATTATATCACTATCAGTATTGTCACTAGACTATATCCAATAAACTTAAAATGACTGGACTAGACTTATTACAGTCCAATAGTCCAGTCCAATAGCCTAGCAATATACAAATTTTACAAAATCAGATCTATTGTTATAATATTTATTATATTTTATACTAAAATTTTATTACCATATTTTCGTATAATAACATGCAGGGTGTATTTCGAATTTTGGTCTAAATTAAAATTAATTTAGGCCAAAATTTGAAATAACACTCATAAATGTTATTATACAAAAATATGGCAAAAGCAATTTACTATAATTCAAAACAGTTTTGCTATCATTAATGTCACAAAAATTCTTTATTTTTGCTTAAGATAAAGAAATTCAGAGTGATAAATTTATTTATGTGCTATATTTAAGATATTGTTAATTAATAACCTATACAATTCATTGTATTTCTAATCTGCAACAAAATGTATAGCTATTTAATATTAATAAATAATTGGTCTAATTTTTAATAATTTATTGAAACCTGAAAGTGATTTTTTATATTTGCCTATATAGTGGCATATTAATCTACGATTATTCATTACTAAGGAATAATTTGGATCTTTTTCTATTAATTATTCATTTAGCTATTTAATTGTTATTTCTAATTGTTATTTCTAATAAAAAAAATGCGAGAATTATTTGAGTTTAAAAAACAACAATATTTCTAATAAAATTGTCATTTCTATTCGTTATTTTTAATAAAAAAATGCAAGAATTATTTGAGTTTAAAAAACAACAATATTTCTAATAAAATTATAGTTGACTAATTTTCTTGCAACAATAAATTTTATACTTACAGATGATAACTTTTGCTGATTTAAATATGAACATCAATAAGTGATTCTCAAAACTAATAAATAAATTAATACTGTAAGTTACAAACTTAAATATAAATTTTAATAATAGTCTTTATATTTACCAAATTTATATTTAACGGTAAATATATTTTAATTAGACCCAGTAACCTAAAAAAAATAGTTTATTTTTTAAACTAGAAATAGCTAATAGAGAAAATAAAAAGTTCAAATCAATTTTCACACAACTACAAAATAAAATTAATAAAGATCAATAAATAAATTTGCAAGAAGTAGATTATTTAAATAGTTAAATTAAATTATACAATCGATATAGTTATAAATTTAATACTTACGAACTGAAATAATTAAATTCTATATTATTGGTTTTGATAAAAAATATTATTTGTTTAAATTTAATTCTGTTTCATAACAATAGCCAAAACAAATCCATTAGCTTTAAAAATAATATCTGGATTAAAAACTCTCACAAATTACTAGAATTACTCAAAGATTTTTCAGATTTATTATGTTAATGCATTAACATATAGAAGCTTATAGTTTAGCGCAAATCTCCATTACAGTATTTTAAAAAACTGAATTATATAATAAAATTTTTTATAACTCTCAGATATAAAATGGTATGCCAAGTTCACCAATAAACAAATCTGAGAGTTTCCATTTTGCATTTTTATCTCTCTGAAGATGTCTCTGATTATGCAAAAATATATCTGGTGATATATCTAAGTCTGAAAGTGCTTCAGCTACAGACTTTTCTTCACCATTTTCCCAATCATCATCAAATTGCTCATTTTCTAGCATTGATTCCTATAAAGCTAATTGCTGTTCAAATCTATTAAAACCTGTTTATTGTTATTAATTTCAATTTCATTTAGTTTTAATATATCAATTTTATTCTCTCCATTTTTATCAACAGTATTAGTTTGTTTAACCTCACCTGATTGTTTTGTTGATTTTGATAAAGTAAAGTTGATGCATTTCTATGATAGATTTTTTTAATTTGATCAAGTTTATGATTACGATGAGTTTGATCGATAATATCTTTAATTTGAGCCATAGCTAATATCTTCAGATACTAAAAAAATAAATGATATCATAATTACAATATATATATATTTTATTTAATTTATAATTTTATATTTACCTT